GTCATCTGCCTGCAAAGCCTATGCTCTTAGACAGTCCATATTCATAGCTGTGGCCCAGGCGCCTCCATTACGGGCCTGCCACAGCTCTGGAAAGTCCCTCCACTAAAGATGATTCCTGTGGGAAAAGGCACATTGTGTCCAGGAGTTTCCTGTAGCATGATACAGACCTATTTCATTTTCAGTAATAAGATCACACATGAAAAGTGCTGTATTAACTGAAAGTTGGACCATTGAATCATATCCTTAAGGTGCAACAGGAGCTCCTGACTGAAAGGAGACTTAACCATAAACCGTTTAGCAAAGCAAAGACCCTCTGTCGTCTTTGTCAAGTCCAGATTTTCACTCATTAAGTAATGTGAGCCCTTAGTTGCTAAACAGTTAGTAAGAACTGCTCTACCTTTCAAGGTATTTCCCAACTAATCATTGACAAGAGATAGAGATGGAAGGGTTTGCCTCACTGGATCCCCCAAAAAGGAGGTGCCNGGGGTGACTATAACCTCGATCAGAGGGAGTCACGTGTGACACCAGTTGTTCTGGGGATGCGGGAACAAGGTGTTTTCTCTTTACCTGTCCTCTGCAGTGTGTCTTTCCCGTACTCCAGGAATCTCTTTAGCCAGGCAATGCATTCTTTTTCTAGCCAATTCTTTTGGTATTGTAATTCATGCTGATTGGCCTCCCATGCCCGCTTGGTGATGTGGGCCACATGATCCACAGCCGTCCAGGAGAGGGTGTCTTTGTTGAAGATAATGAAATCCTGTCCATCATATGCATACTGGAGAAACCCCGTGGTGCTTCCGTCCTCCAGCAGCTCACAGCCAATCATCCTCTGGTAAGTGTGAAACCCTGCAACACACATGCAACCAGGAAGGTGTTTGCACAGGCACAGGAGGTGCTCTCAAGCGATGTGACTGGGGGCATAGCTGGCAGCATCCTCTGTCCCAGGAGACACCCCCCACAGGCTAACCATGGCATCTTGGGGTCCGCAGGAGGTTCCTGTGATGGGAGCCCACCTATCCACAGACATTTGTGGAGTAC